ACATAATTTAATGGCGCGGCAAGGACGATTAAATTACATAATATTCCGAAAATGCGCGGATCTTTTCTTTTCCGCGGGGAGCGCAAGATTATATTTCTATCGCATGAATCGCAATTAAACTGATATTAAGCCGATTGGGAAACGAAGTTTGAGAGCGCAAGGATTAACGTTTACACGAAACTGTTTCTTCGTTATCGTTGACATTTATATGGAGCATGTACCACTTGATGGAAGCATTTGTCGTCGAGTGTGCCGTCACGAAGCGTAAGTCTACTGGATTTTACCCATTGATTACGTCCCGCAATTTAAGGATTGCGAACGCGAACGGACCCGATGCGATGGCGACGCGACGAATGCAAATGCATTCGCGTTCCTCGACGAAACGTGATAAAATTTGCAAGCATCGCTCTCGCCAGAAGTTTGCAATTAAATACTAATCACAGCACGCCTCGAATCTAATTTCGGCGAAGGAAGGATCGAAGAAGATGCGAATGTGAATAATCCTTTTATAGTCATTCAATGACGTAATTAAAACTTTTCAATGTAAAATGCATCATGCGGGTTCTCCTCTGTCGATTCTTATTTGCATATCGGGCTGTCAATTTTATTTCGCTGCGCTAATAATAAGAGGTTCGTTTGGGGAAAAAAGAAATAGATTCGAGCGATGCCCGCATTGTTTGTATTTTCACATTTTAAGACGTAACGTATTTTCTATGAAATAATTAAAAGTCGCTTCGCCTATGCTTGCTAAATACATTTCGCGCACGTGCGCGCTGATCGAATTATGCATTTTATCGCGCGGCGAGCATTTAACAAATCTATCGATATTTCCGATCGCGCGGTAATCGAGTTTAGCCGGAGACTAATTTTCAGTAGCCAGCCAGAGTCAAGGGAACGTTTTCCTGATAACGATAAAGCAACGCGCGCTTTAATTATCGTACTGTCAGACACGCTCCGCGTCCTACATGGAAATTGTATTAAGCTATTTCATCGAGACGTCATAATATCGCTAATCGAGTTATACGTCTTTATGCCACGCGCGATATTATTCGCGATAATTAAAAACCCGTGAAGGCGAATATTCGACCAATTGGCATATCAATCAGCCTACGCTGATGACTTGTAAAACGGCTCGTGTGTCCTCATCGATTGTCGCAATAATCTCGAAACTTGCTTTCGAATCTAATTTGACGGGAATTAAATACCGATGTGCAACAAGGATGGATTTGATTTTCGCAAAAGATTCGTGAAACTTTTTATTCGTATTCTCGCGACCTCGGGAACGAATGTCTCTCCGCCGTCTGAGTTTATCGATGCATCGGTGATATCTCGGCGATTTAATCCGCCCAGACGATTACGTCGCGACGAAAGGGAGAGAGAAAGAGATAGAGAGAGAGAGAGAGAGGGGAGGAGAAGGAGCACTCCCGCGACCGCGGGAGACGAGATTCCACAAAATTATACTGTTTAAGGAACGAGGGCGCGACCGGACCTTGCGCAACGAATACAAATTCAGAGCCAGCCGGCGGCGCGTCCCTTCAGCGCGCGTGACGAAATTCGTAAAGGAGCTCTCGAAGCCAGCTTCCATCTCGACCTCGATGGGTGGAGGAGGGCGCGACACGATATTCGCGGGCGATTTTCTTGCGAGAGAAAGAGAGTCGTTTTAGCGCGACAACGTGATAATATTTCTGAACTTGGCTGGCCTCGCTCCCTCTCTCTCTCTCTCTCTCTCCCTCTTTCTCGCGGTAGAAAAAAATTTGTCGGCCGAGTCGAGAGAGCCACCGACCTACGCCGAAACTGGTTTCATAAGCGCCGCTTCGGCGATAAAAAGAGACGAGAGAGGCAACGGGAGAGAGAGCGAGAGAGGGAGGGGAGGGGGCAACGCGACCGCATTCAGGACGAGCGCATTTACATGTTACGTAAAATTTCGTTTGGGACCCGCAACACACGACGAGCCACGACTCTAGCGAACATTCTCTCGCCTCGACCCGCTCGCGTCTCGATGAAAGTCCGGATGATTTTCCTCCTCGCGGATGCCCGCAGCAAAATCTCCGCATCTTCATCTACCTTGCTTTTGAATACTTTTGAAAATAAATTGCACGTCAATTGGATCAAGAGATTTAATCAAAATTTTAATTTGATGCGATGTCATAAGAGACACGTGACGTAATCGACGGTAATATTTGTCCGAGCGAGCATCCTTCGCAGAGAGAAAAGGAGAAGACGCAGAAGAACACTCGTTTATTTGTGCGTTTATTCAAAAGTTAGGAATACGAGTAATAATTTGCGATCGACCAAGAGCCTGCGAGGAAGGATTAAAATATAGAAAGCTCGAGTATACTGTTTGAAAAGAAATTTATTTATAATCACTGTTGTGTTTGATCGCGACAATTGTGCCAGCGATACGCAATTTCTCGCTTAAAGATGCAAATTTCTCTTCGGAGGGACTTCCGTTCGAATGAAATTCTCATCGATTCGAGGGCCCTCGTAACACCCTCGCTGTCGCGTTATCAAAATTTGTCCCCTTTTTTTTTCTCTGTAGAGACACCGGTGACACTAGAACGGCGATGCAAAATGTCCGATTTATCATGCGTTCGATGGCTTGTTTTAATGTATCATGTACCGACAGAAACGCTGTAAATACTGACGGACTAAAAAAAAAAAGGGAGGAAGAGGACGGGGAAGGGGAGAGCGGAGCTTTTACTCCAATTTTCAAGAATGATAGATCGGCCCCCCGTATTTCAAAATTGGAGTGAAACGAACGTACGCTGCCCGTGTTGGCCTGTTATCGCGTTCTCTCGCTTTTTTCCGCGTTACCACGCGCCATGAGCGTTATTTCTGTCTTGGCGACTGACTCATCGACGTCTCGGAAAAGAAATGACCCTTGCTCGCGATACCGTCGACTTTGCATGCTTATCAGTTCGCTCGCTGCGATGCTTTCGAAAAGAAATGTTTCGTACAATCGTAGACCGGTCTCTCTCTCGGAGCGTCATTTATTCTATAAATATGTCGTAAATTTGATTTTGTAACTTATCGAATTTGCATAATACACGAGAATCGGGATGTCGTTGAAGACTAAGATTTTTAGACTCGCCGCTTTCCAAGTAAGCGGCTGCTACGTCTCGGAGAAATATCTGACGAGCATCTCTCGGAGTGAGACGTCGATCCGGTAGTTTTAAAGCGATACCTGCGACTTTGTCGATTAGAAATTCTTATCTCAACGTACGAGAGAGATCTCGCGAGATATCTCTCTTACGAGACGTACGAGGGATTATTTAAAATTCAACGTCCCGCGTTTCGCGCGATGAAATCGGCAGAGAGCAACGGCAACCGGGGCGGGATGACATTCGATCCTCGCGATTTTCTCTTACACCGTAACCGTTGGCGCGACTTGCACTTGACGCCACTCGAGGCCATCATTTATAAAGTCTGGCAGATTCTTGCCGCGGCACATCGTGTAAATCCGCCGCGTGCTCTCCTCCCTTCTTCCCCTTATCCCATTCATAAAACAAGAGATATTGAAAGAGAAGCGGCAAGAACAATTTTTCGCTCTTGTCGACGAGAGAGAGGGAGAGGGGGAGATTCTCTCGTCGCGTCGAGATTTCACCTGCTGATCCAAGTCGCCGGATCGTATCGTACTGTCCGCGTATATTGCGAGAACATGTGGCTCATAAAACCGTATTGCGTCCAGCGTCCATCCATTAGAAGATATTTTTGTGCGCGCACGCGGATAAAAACAAATATGAATGGCGACGATACCGGCGGCAGAACCACCCGACACCGCGTCGTTTAAAAGGTTAATGTCGATACAACAACGAACGCAAATAAACACTTTTAACGGCGCGACGACACTCGTTCGGGCCGGCAATCAAAGAGAAATAAGGGAGAACGACCATCGCGGAGTCTTTCTTCGTCGACTCGTATTTTTCCATCCGCGATTCAAAGTACCGCGCGTTCCTCCTTCAATTAAGATTATCGCTTAATTAAACGAAAGTCGAGCGAGTCTAGGTTGAAAACTTTTCGCTGTGCTTGATATCTTATCTCTAGGAATGCAACGCGAAATGTGCATATACGCACCTGCTAAATTATACCGTCGGTCGGTTGGCGCAAAGATTTGTGCGTAAGAAGCCGTCAAGGTCGCTCCTCGAAACGGAGATGGATTTTACGGATTTTAGCGTCGGGCAAATATAACATTTGCCGTTTAGTTTGGTGTACGAATATGGTTTGCCATTTAGTGGCTGGTGTATTGATGCAAAAGCCAGGCGTGTTTAGACAGCATCTACCAGGCGGAAAAAGCGAAATGGGTTATATGCTATGTATTTTGACCGCAAAAACCGCCTGGTTTCTACAACAATTGAAGCAACCGGTTGCGAAATTGCCTGCATTATTATTCGATCCTCCAACGAAAGCGAAATATCGGAGATGTTTCTCTTCAACATCTCAGACAACCGCGATCTTCCGCTTCTTAAATTCCGTAATTTGTATTCAAGGTAAACGACTCCCGTACAAGTTGTCAGGTTTGAATCATTTTTTCTAAACTACGGCACCTTTAATCGACTTGTGCACGAAATTAACGCGAAAATGATAACGAAATAAATGATATCGAACGCGCCGAGATGGTATCAATCTCGCATTTTTTCGTAATCGACTTCGGCATTAACGTCATTTTTCTCCAAAGGTTTCGATGAACGCAAATCGTGCACCGAGAGAAACTAAAGTAAATCCCGTACGGATACATTTTGAACCCAACGAGACAAAGTGCGAGCGCTCGCAACTTCTCGCTCTTAAAGCCCCAGAAATCCACCGTCGAAAAGTACCGTTTCGCGTTCGTAAAGCCGGCAACTTGGACGCGGTATACCTCGACTGGCCGTCGCGCGCTCGTAACCGCGTCCGCCGAGCGGCTCTCTCGACTCCGAAGGTCGAACACTTTCGAAGCGTCGAGCGCGAGTCGCCAGCCACGGCGATCAGTGCTCGAAAAGAACGGCAGAGAGGAGGATACTTACATCTTGTAGTGGTGCTGCATGTGGTGGCCGACGAGGTGCATGTCGGTGGCGTGCTGCTGCTGCTGCATCTGCTGGTGCTGCTGCTGTTGCTGCTGCTGCTGCGGCTGGTGCATACCCTGATGATGGTGAGTCTGCGGGGGGTCCAGGCTGGAGGCGCCCAGCAGGGTAGCGCTCTCCCTGAACAGCGTTGCTACCTGCATCTCGGCTGAGTCGTTGGTCGATGCGGGTCTAGGGGAAGCAGCTCCGCCGTCGGCCGGCGTCGTCGCGAAGTAGGGACGGGTCCGAGTAATCCTTTACGTAACGCGGATACGCGGTCCTCCGACGAGACGAAAGCTCTTTGCGAACGTTACCCGACCCGGGATCGATACCGGGCTTCGGGAAGGCGATTACTAGAATCGCGGATGATTCCGAGAAAAAAGTCCTCGAGCACGTTGATTACGACGATTGCGAAATAATCGCGACAATCTCCTCGTCGCGGAGAGCCTCTCGCGTGCCGCAACCTTCCGGCGAATAATGTTCTTCCCGCGCACAATTGCTAGAATCGCCAACGGTCACGGGATGCGATATCCAGTCTTTAGCGGCGAAGCGATCCGAGGACAGTCATCGGTCGCTCGGACACGCTCTCGCTCATGGTGTTTCGTCAACGGAGAGAACCGTGACAGGACTGTGTGACTTTGCGTCGACTGAGGCCTTGGAGACTCGAGCCCGACGGACTTTCTCTCGCGACTCCTCGACGGTCGGCGATCGCCGAGCGCGGCTCGTCGCGCTTCCTCGCTTCGCGTCAACGATCGCGCGCGACAATCGAGCACGTCGTCGAGACGACGACGCTCGTCGATGCCACCGTCGCGACGACGTCGGTCGCGACGCGGCACTTTGCGCGACTCAGTCGAGACCCCGCGAGGTCGTCATCGTTGTCCTCCTCGTAAGGACCGTCGGCGACTCGGTTACCAGCATCCTCTCCTCGCCGGACCGCTTCCGCGCCGCGAGGCCGGAAGCCGCGAAAGTCTCTCCGGTTCTCTCTTTCTTTCCTTCTTGGCCGGAGTCCGCTCGCTCGCGCGCTCGCTCGCTCGCTCGCTCGCGCGCGCGCGCGCGCGCGGCCTGGTTGGTCTCTCTCTCTCTCTCTCTCTCGCACTCGCGCACACTCACCGCCGGACGCGTTCTCGCGCGTGCAACACGCGAGCCACACACGGGATCACTGGCCGCGCGGCGACGTACTCCGTTTGGGAACTTTCTTTTTTTCGGAGGAGGAGCTTCTCTCCCCGCGTCGTCCCCTTGTCTCTCGCTCTCTCGCTCTCTCGCTCTCCCTGTCGTTTCGCCTCGCCGCGCCGATTTATATCACCGTCTCTCGGGCCGCGACGCGGTGCCGCCTCGAAATCGCGCACTCCGCGTCGTCTGTCATGTTCTCGCCGCGATCGCCGCGCGCACCTTTTGAATTACGCGCACCGACGCGGTGCGGTGGTGCACCCACGCCCCGTTAAGGGCAGCCGCGCGATGCAACGACTGGCGCGCTTATCGCTTGCCGGCCGCGTCGCGCGACGCACACGTCTTCTCCGTCGGCCGGCGGTACCAACCGGGCTTCCTCTCGGCTTCGCGCTCCGATACTCGCGATGCCTCGTGATTCGTCACGAGCGAGACGCGCGGACGTACTCACGGTGTTGCGCGATCCTCCTCGAGAGGGACGTGCACGCACCGTTCTTCGCACGAGTTCGCCTTCCCGTCGCTTTTTTCGCGTTTCTCCTCTCCTCCGACCTCCTCCGTTCTCCTTCTTTCTTTCTCTTCCGCCCTCCTGGCCTCCGCGGGCCGCGAGCTCTCTCCCTCTCTCTCTCTCTCTCTCTCCTCTCCGTCTATCTCTCTTTCGTCGTGTAAACACGCGCGCACACACACACCGCGGAATCTGCAACCGCGGCAGCAAGAGTCGGCACCGCACTGCTCGGCCGTATCGCTCGCTCGGTCGCTCGAACCGCGTCGCTCGTACGTTTCCGCCGTTGCTCGACGATGCTCGATCGCGTTCGGGTTCGAAGCCTCACGGCGACGGCGACGGCAGCGGCAGTGGTGGCGGCAGCGGTGGCGGCAGTGGTGGCGGCGGCGACTGGTCCGGCGCAGTCTGTCCTTCGCCGCTCGCTCGCGCCTACTCCTTCCCTCCCCCGCCGTCCCCTCGCCGCCCCCTCTCCTCGTCCTTCTTCTTCTTTTTCCTTCCATCCTCCATTTTTGTCTTCTTTTACGGCCGTCCTCGTCCCGCGCCCGCGACCAAGGATAGCCGTCGAAGCTCGACAGGGCTAATCGATCGCCGGCGATCAATAGTAAATCGGGGCACGCGCCACGACGATCGATTGAGATAGATCGATCGTAGCGCGATCGTTACTCGGCCGACCGACCTGCGGCTACATCGGCCGCATCTGCGATAAGGCGACGGCGAGAGGGGGAGAGGGGGGAGAGAGAGAGAGAGAGACGTATAACGGTCACTTTGTACGCGCAGCAGCCACGAAGACTGGCCGAATTTACAGCGCCGGTCGTACGTCCTTTCCACCTATGGACCGAGGACATTATGCAAATGAGCGCGCGAACGGCGGGATTGTATTTGCGAGGGAATGTCGCAACGGCAAATTCTTGAAGATGTGACAAGGGGACGGACTCTGGCGCTCACATATTTACGTAGGTGATCTTTTTTTAGATCCCCGTCGTCTTCGTCGTCGTCGTCGTCGTCGGGTAACGTCGTCGATACGTCTTACGCCGTGTTCCGTAATCTACTGACGGTGCTGACAGCACCGTGGCCGTAAATACGGCTTTTCATGCCTTCCGAAATACATTACTACTGTCTGTGATGTATAATGGAGCGATTCTTAGTTAGGCACACTTGGCTCGATTCAGCTCGGCTTCGACTACGTGTGTAGAGTTACGGACAGTTACCGCGGCGGAAAGTTTACGACAAGTATGTATGTACTTTGGCCGAGCTCTCTTATACTTATAAAGAAGGCTGTAAATATTGCAGATAGTTGACGAGAGTTTGGATTCGGATGATGCATTCTTAACTCCGTTTACTGAAAATACTTTGCGAGGTCAACGTATTCCAAGGCTTCGAGCGCAAAATTATATCAATGATGCTGCATTTCGGGTGTCAACGTTTTAGCAGAGATATTCGGAAGTCGACAGTTTCTCGAGGGTCGATTTATGAAAACTGTTTACGACGGCTCATTTCAAAGAACAGCAATACACCCTCTAGTATATAGGTCTGCCTATTTTAGCTATACCTATTCTCAAACTTTCCAAATTTAATTCCAACGCGGATTTTTTTCCTTTCGTCCGCGCAAGAATTTTGACGGAGTCGAAAGACGATGGTGAACACGTAACAGCGCTGTTTCCTACTTGTACAAATTAATTATCGAATAACGTTGTGGAAAAAGAACTCAAGTTTCATCTCGAATTCTTCGTTGGTACAAATTAATCGAGAATTTGATCGAGACGAGCGTGTATTGAAGCTTCTCGAAGGAGGAAGGGAAGCTAAATACAACATGTGCGACTAAAACAAGCAGAAGCAGCGTTATCAGCAGGTTACCGAATATATTCTTATATATATATGCAACGAAACCTATATTTTCCCCGTGCTTTCATTATCCTTTGCAACGTATATAATCTCGGCGATGCCGATAAACAATTAACGAGCGCGGTATTAATCGTGGTCGGGGTCGTCTATCGCGACGCGGTTCATCGTCATCGTTGTCGTCGATTGCGTCGATCGATCGCGCTCGCGAGAAAACGAGCTGTAAATTATTATTCCCTCAAAGTTGATTTCCGATTCCGTTTCGCGGGAACACGACGGTACCTCGTGTAACCCAAAATAAACCCGGTGTACGTCCCGCGCGCGCGCGCGCGGGCGGGCGGTCGGTCGGTGGACGGGGGGAAGGAAAAAAAAAAGAAAAAAAAAGAAAGAAGAAAGGCCACGAAAATATCGGGCGGTCCAGCTCTCGCGGTCACGCGATCGATCTCGCGCGCTTTTCCCGCGTCCCTCCTCCCCCTTTCCTTCTCCGCGCTCGGTCTTATTATTAATCGATTCGAATTATCGATCGCAGTCATCACCGTCGTGTCCGCCGCTCTTCGCCCTGGCCGACACCGGTCCGCCTATATTCCGCTCTGCCTGGATGCACGACCGTCGCCCGCCATAGTGTGCCGCTCGCCATTTGCGCGTGCGTGTGCGTGAGCATGTATACCTGCGTACACACGTCCGTGTAAAAATGTGTGCGCACGTGTGTATGTTGCGCGCGATGTGTGCAAGCCGCGCGACCACGAGGATGTGTTGCGGGAAAGAGAGGGAGAGAGGGAAAGAGAGAAGAACCGAGAGAAGGCGTTTATTTGTATGGGTGTGTGTGCGCGCGCGCGCGTGTGTGTGTGTGTGTGTGTGTGTCGGTTGCGCGCGCGGGCACGTGCACGACAGGGTGTGGGTGCATGCGGTGACCCTGCCGGTAGATGGGTGGGTGGAAAACCAGGAGCGTACGATGCGACGAGACGCGCGCGCGTCTCGGAGCGCTCTTTTTTACGTGGCATCGGAACGACTCTTTTTCTTTTTTTTTTCTTTCTTTTTTACATAACGCCTCGCGGTATTTTTGATGCGCGCGGAGTCTTGCGGAACGCGGTTTGCGTTTTCTCTCCCCCGCTTTCTCTCCCTCCTGTCGTAAACAAAAACGTTGCGCAGAGTCCGTTCTTTGCGGCCGCAGGAGAGTTTTTCCACGCTTGTTTTCGCTCTCTCCTCTCTCCGCGACCTGACGCGTGCATACCTGTTTCGTTTCAAGCAAGGCGAGTGTAAAAAGTTGAACTAAACAGAATGAACATTGCGTTTCAGCGAGATTTGTTGACTTTTCTCGAGAATTTTGCTCCCTTTGGCCAAAATAATGTATCCGCTATGTACCTTTCTCTTACCCCCATCTTACTTTTTTTCATCATCTATAAATAACGTATCGCGAATCGGATTCGTAATTTTTATACATCGTCTCATCTGACGCAACATTTTCTTTTTCCTCTCCTATAGAACGGATAGATGCGTATAATGCTCGATATGCCGCGCGTGCAGTGTGCAGCTTCGAACGAAGGCATTAGTCATCGTTCTGTTATCTTTGTCGGACGTATGACTATTTGATTACTTTGCAACGAGCGACACGAGAATTCGCGTGGAGAATTCCGGTGCTTCGCGCTAAATTTCGTCGACAGATTTCCGGAATGGCGTTCGGGAAACTGCGGCGAGAATCTACACGATGGGCGAAACGCGCTCGTTCCTCCCTTTCAAAGGTGTCAAAGCCAAAACCTCTTGACACGCTCCTGCCCGAAGCGACTCCTCCGTGTGTGCGTGCGCGCGCTGCCAGGTTGAGAGAGGGAACGAGAGGATGAAGGGGGTGGGCACGAGCGAGAGGGATATAACGGAAAAGGGATACGGAGGGGGAGGGGGAGACGTTCATGCGTGGGAGAAGAGAAAGGGATCGAGGGAGATGTACCGGGTGTGTGGAACGAGTGGGACAAGGACGATGCGAATCCAACGAGAATCGTCGCTCTCGCAAATGGAAGAGAGAGAGAGAGAGAGAAGAGGGAAATCCAGAGGGAGGAAGAGGGGGAGATAAGACTGGCGCGAGAGGAAGAGAGATTATATCGATTGAACGGAGACGGCGAGATATTGTCGAAGCTCTCACGTATACATGCACGCTCGAACGTACACATTCACCGGGCCGTCAAGCTCGCGCGCTGCACAGACTGCCAGAGAGACTCCCACCACGAACTTTTGGAAAAATCAATAGAATACAAGAAAAGCCCATGGTGCGTCAGGCGAGTCGGATCCCTCTCTCCTTCGCCTCCCTCGTCTTTTCCCTCTCTCTCCTTCTCTCTCTCCCTCTCCCTCTTTCTCCCTTTACCACCCTCTCGTCCGCCACCCTTCCTGCCCCTCTTGCCGCATCTCTCTCGCGCGCGCGCGCGCGGTATCCGTGTTTGCCCGCGACAAAGAGAAGGCGAGCTCGCGTGTATACACTGACGATCGACGGAGATGGGCGATACGCGTGCACGCACGACGGCCAAGGACGGAGATAAGGACAAGAGAGGGGTAGGGCGGGGGACGGTTGGGAGGTACACAGCGTGTGTACGCGCGAGAGAGATGCCGAGCGTATACGATAGCGCTCGAGCGAGATGGAAGGAGAGAGCGTGATGAGAATAAATGAGAGGAAGAAGGACGGAAAGCGTGAAACGTGCTAGAAACGCGTTTGGTTAAACGGAGACGGCGACAACGAAGAGAGAGAAAAATGCGTTCGTGTGCGCACACGCTTCATGGACGAGGCTGTCGGAAAGAAAGACAGAGAGGGAGAAGGCGAGAAAGAGAGGAGGAGGAGCCCATTGTCGAGAGAAAGGAAGATGGGATACTTGCGGGCATGTGCGACTGTGCGTATCTAAGACGCGTAAAGTCCTGTCGTTAGGCCGAAAAGAGAAAGAGAGAGAGAGAGAGAGAGAAGTGGAGGGTACACAAGTGTGCGTCTATCCGTGCGCATGTGAGAAGAAGACGGGAAAATACGGTGTTTGGCCGAGGCAGCGCGAGAGGTTACGTAGGTTCCTCTAATGGCCAAGAGACGAAGAGCGGTATGCAGCGAGATGCATAGAGAAAGAGAGAAAGAGAGAGACAAAGAGGGCTGCTGCGCGCGCGAACGTACCTCGTTCGTGTTGGTGCACCGAGTAGAAGATTTGCACGGTTCAACAAACGCCTCTCTCGCTTATGTATACCTACAAAACTATGTATGAATCTCCTGGGGTAAATCGCACATGTACATAGGACGGTGCGTGTAACGTACGGATATATGTATATATATATATATATATATATATATATATATATATATATACATGTATATATATATGTATATACATGTATATATGTGTGTGTGTGTATGTACATACACGTGGATATTCTGTTACGTACGGGGTATGTCCCTGACCAATCGCAGCTCCTTTTAACGATGGACTACGAGCAATCTGTGGGTAGAAAGTAGCGGCAAAATTTAGCAGGTTGAACATTAATTGATATTAATCAGGATATCATCACGATCCGATAATCCTGTATCGTTTATTTATCGTGAATACAAAGGAGAAACAACGTCACTCTATCTATCATTTTATTATAGTGGAACAATACGCGTTACGGTATACAATAATATGAATATATATGTAAAAAATATATATGTCTTTGATATTTTTTCGTTAAAAAAATTGCACCTTTATTCATTCCATTGCTTGTTTTAGTTTGGTTGACTGGGAACACCGCGTATATCGAGCACGAGTAGTGAAATGGGACGCGGGAGGTTCGAGATGTTGACTTTAAAAAAGACATCTCGAGTGTATTATCGTCTTTATCGTTTCTGGCGCAGTCCCGAATGCGTGATAAATAAAAGGATAAAGACAAAAAATAATAACGCCGGATAAAGTATTAAACGCGGATCAGAGGCAATGGTATGCTTTTTCATTGTGAAAATGCTTTACGGACAACATTTGGAGCGTCTGTTAAAATGTTTGAAATCTTTTTTACGCGGCCAAAAGTGACTCTTGATTCGAAATCGTCATCTCTTTGCGACTGGACCTGTTTGCAGTCTGGCGCGAATAAAAAATTCAGCCACCTTAATTCGCGGCAAGGAAAAAGGCGGAATGCGAGCCGTCTCTTCGGGTCGAGCACACCACTGACCAAGAGCGCGAACCGCGAACGTGCGTTTTCTCTCGATGGAAACGGGAGCCGGGACACGGCGCGGTCGGATCCACATGATTGTGGTAGTGCAGATTGCTCTCGTGTGCACCGCCTGCCAGTCACCCACGCCACGTTCCTGACACCTCCCTCGCATCCACCCGCGTTTCTCTCCCGGCCATGTAGAATTTTCCTCGATTGCGAGGAGAAAAAGCACGTACACGGAGGGGTTTCTATGATTCGTTCCTTCACACATAGATCACCCGTGGATCGCGCGATGATTCGAAACCAAAAGCAGACGACGTGCAATATTGCATTTTTGCACATATGTAGCGAACAATTGGAAAAAATTGTTCACGATGATGCAAATGCTCCAAATTGTTGCGTGTGCGTTGAAAAGTTTTTGTCATTTTGTTTAATCGAATGAAATTAACATTATCCGCGAGATAATATCGATATCGTATTGCGTATTTAGAAGAATATTAGAATGATATATTTGACATTTCTGACTGGAGAAAAATATTTGTACGTAGCCGCCGCCGAAATGCATTATTAATTGAAACAAATGCGTTTTACCGCGGGTATACGCTTTTATTAGAGCCCTCTAATGAAGAAGTGTCACAAATAATTAAACTTATGATGATAAAACATCATTCTCCCCGCGATACTCGTGCTACTCGATTTTAATATCTCGTAAGAATCTGTCTCGTCTTAAAAATTTACGGCATCTGTATTTAATTTATCGAAATGTTTTTTCTCTCGACTACATTATTTTTTCTTTCCAGTGTGTCGAATCGTTGCTTATTTGGAGGGATTTCAATTTTACCAGCATTTTTTTTTCTGAAACATCCGTTTAAGCGATCTCGCAAGTGATGCGCGAAGGCTACGACAGATCCAAACGGAAGTGCAGCTTGGCTCGTACTAAACGGAACTGACCCAGCTTCGCGGCTTTCTACCCTTCTCTGATCTGCCTCACCCTCTTCTCGCTCTCCATCTCGCTCACCTTCTCTCTCATCCGTTTTCTCATCCCTCCTCGCTCCGCTCGCCAACTCCGTCTCGTTTCTTCCTTCTCGACGTTCTCCCCGCTCGACGACGAGGTACCCTCGAGAAGTTTCAATTTATACGGAAAGTCGTCATGAGACCGAATGCACAAATACGTACGCCGCTGCTACTAGTCCATTCATATCAGCTGGCATGATGTAAACACGGCAAAATCGTGGCACAGCGAGATGTAATTCTACACCGCGAATCATCTTCAGCTGATATTACAAACGTTATACGCGACGCGTTTTAATTGGCTTTCAGTTTTAGAGAGACACGTAGGATTTTATATAAATTATTATTGCTCGGATAAAAAAGTTTCGCGTCTGATAAATTATAATAAAGATAGAAATTATAGTTTTATCGTAAGAATACTGGGCTCTCTTGAATAATCAAATCAAATTTTTCAGAAATATATATATCAAGCGTAAACATTTTATATAGAATATATATTACATAGAATTTTTTCTGTTGAAATTTTTGGATTCTACTCAATGAATATTTCAAACACTCGAATCGCCTTCCATTCATATCTAAAACATTGAAAGAAAATCTACGACATTTCTCTATTAAAATGTAAAATGTATATTGTAAATTTTATTCAAATTACATTTTATATAAGTATTACAATAATATATATATTCGATGAATATATTTCAGAGCGCATTATATCTTTGTGAATATTCAAATATATGAAAATTCCTGGAACAATCCTTGCGTCCCACGACGAACGATTGGATGGAATGCGAGTCTGCGGCGTGATCGCCTTTGACACCGCGCGTCGATGCACGTCGACGATGCGGAAAAAAGCGAAAAAGCGACGGGATCGCGCGTGACCATTCAATTTAAAGACCTTGAGAGGCACGCGGCGAAAAAGAGCATTCTTTCGCTGCCACCGGCAGCAAAGAGCTGGCGGCGGTATGGTTGACGCCCTTTCTCGGTACAAGTTGGCGAGGGGGCGGCTGAGGGGGGAAAGCAGACCGGGAACACCTGTCGTTATAAATTACCGCGATGTGTTACGAGTAACGTGGAAGGGTGTCGCGCCTGCCTTCCTCATCCCCGTCAGAATTTCACACCCTTCCATCTCGCGTTTCGTATATATATGTTCTCCTCTTCTCGGTTAAATAATAATTGTATAAAAAAATTTTGCGCGATAAAATATTTAGAAATGTCACGATCGTAGATATATTCAAAGAAATGAAACAAGAGTATCGTGTTGAGAAGATCACGAATAATGACGTTTATTGCACATGTCGCGGAAAAAATAAAGGGAAAGGATGAAAAGTACGATCGAATGTGCGTGATTGAAAAGTGCCCAAGTTTGGAGTAAATGGAGCAGAACTGTTCCTGGCACTCGGGTAATTTTTTCGCATGTTTTGGCACGACACGCGAAATACACCGCATGAACAGATTCAATATTAAAGACAGATTAAATAGTCGAGAGAAAGCCCGACATGTTCGAACGAGAAACTCGGATCGCGCGACAGCAGACGAAAATTCACGATCGTCTTCCCCCGTCATTATACGCGAGAGTGGGAGGAGACGAATCTCGACGCGCGGGAATCTCCGTTTTCTCGCGTAATGGAGCGAGGAATTATTTTCGAGGGTGGGGTATTATTAGGAGATGAGAGAGAATCTCCGCGCGACGTTATCTCGACGCGGGCCGAGGCAACCCCTCGCCGCGGCAACGAAATTCAGAATACGTCACTGGTGTCAACCCCCGCGCGGTAGGCAGAGGGGTCGTGCACCCTTCCGCGATTGTGTGTGTGTGTGTGTACGCGAGCACGCGCGCGCACGTACGTGTGGCGGTGAGAGGAACGCGCGGAACGCTTTATGAATGGAATGTTTCCACGCCAAGTGTGGCGAGAGAGGCACCCGTGTGTCCCACGTGTAAACACAATAATACCGACGTTTCCATTCATCAGGTCGACCCCGACGGAACGGTACGACCTCGAGAAATGCCTTTGGAGGCGCCACGATATGCGTGCGTGTATGCGTGTGCACGTATACGCGTTTATCGCCCGTCCCACCCTCGCCGTTGGATTTTTTATTTTTCACGCGCTCGCCAACCCTCCGCGAGGCTATTTAAAGAGTCGAGTCTCGATTGTTGCCCGTCGCCGGTTAACCTCGATTCATTAATCGCCCCCGCGTTTTAGCTGTCTCCGTAGCAAGAATGTCTAGGAATCTGAAAACCGATTAGATCAATTTGCTGTTCCATGCTCCTTGAAATATTTTCGTCTCTCCAAGATGCTGCAATTACGAGTGCAACTCGACGATTAACAAAACAGTTGTAGGTATTGTAAGAATTATTCATATTGGCATCTGATTTTTAATTCGTAAATATTAATTATAAATATATAAAAGAATGCTTTGGCAAAAAAAGAGAAGTGTTACGGAATTTATAACAGAGAATAATCTGTTTCTATAAACATATGAAAATAGCAGTTATAGTAAAAGCGAATAATTTTTACGATTTCGAGTATAAAATAATTGTTACACCGAATCACAAATATACCAAATATATGAATGAAAACAGATGCGAATGCGGATCTCTAGCATGCATATTTATGTGATTTTTTGTGGTCTGCCAAACTGGTTAAAGGCTAGGTCGCCTAAATTGTGTTATCTGACGCAACGCTCCGAAATTAATGCAACTGTTAAATAACGTACAATCGGATGACAAACAGCCTACTAATTTTGTTTGCGTAAAACTGCTAATGATGAACTCCCCATTCAACAGGTCGATCGTGCGTTGCAATAGGAATCCGGTCTCCAGAGGCACGTTTTAAAGGCGTCACGTGTAGCACGTGTCCTTTCTCGTTTTTCTTTCTTTTACGCGCCTCTTCCCAAAGCCGAGACGGATCGCTATTTAAAGAACGATTCGGATGCGGGTCGCAGTTTGCGACTCGCGCATCCTTGCCGAGGATTTCTCCTCGCGCTGCCGAAAATAGTCTGCCGGATCGACCCGGATTTTTGTGGCGTTTTTATGCGAAATTCGCTTTTTATTAGCGATAATTATCGTGTGATTCAGCAACAACTGCGAGCCAGGAACAGTTTTCCCAGGCTCGCTTATATTTTATTCCACATCGATTTTTATTTGAAATAAGATGTCGGAGAGCACGGACACGCTGCAATTACCGTTGGAGAATGGTAGGGTGGAGTAAAAGGCGGTTTCGAGGGGGACGCTACATCGTCGCGGATATTGAAACATTTATATGTATGCCTTACGCAAATTGTTTGGTTTCTTCTCTCGTCTCTACCGATGTAAGAGTCCTTTTATCTCGACTTGGCGATGATATAGACGTAGAATTGCATACACATCGTATATGTATAATTTTCCACTTTTAACGGATCAAATATTTACGTCGGATTCTTTGAAAAATATACAGCCGACTTTTCTCTCTTCTTAATAAAAAAGAGAAAAAATCCAGAAAAGCGCATAACTGCGAAAACCTTCGCTATTGAAATTTCCTTTCTACGGACCGAGCTTCGTAGATATATAACTAAGCATTTAAGTTACGCTTAATCTTTTATCTAAAGGGATAAGAGATTTTAAGTCGCACGTGCTTTTTCGCGTTACTCGGGTCGCTGCATCGTGACGATTAACGCGCTAAAATGCACTGTCGACGAATGAGACAAGCGTCGCGCCGGCTTTGCAGCGGACATTCATTTTCTAGCGCATCTACATTTCTTATGACTTTATACTTAATTCAGATCCTCATAGACTTCCGGCGTATTACGAGAGGGAGAGAGAAAGGAGGATGCATGCCGCAAGTATACGAAAGTGCGTGCAGCCCCACGAGGATATAAACCTAACGCGTGTGTATGCATGTACCGTATGCGCGATATTACGTCGCGATCAAGAGCATACTCGTCGCCGAGAGTACTAGTCTCTCTTTCGAGAGACTACTCTTCGACACATGGCGTGGTAATATATGAAAACCGTGTGTTTACCGCGGCGACAACACGCGGGGCGGGAGGGAGGGGAGGGAAAGGGCAAAGGAGGCAGGAGATGGGATTAATTTAGGTTTAATTTTAATCAAGCCGCCCGCGACTTTAATTTGTTTTTCTTTGAGGCAAGATTTTTACTTGAGGCGTGCATGCATGTGCGCGCATACATGTATATATACGTGCGTGTGTGTGTGTGTGTATACACATGATGCGAAACTTTCCACGCTGCGCGACGGCTCTGTCAATGTTGCGAGTTACATTCACCCGTGGGAAATCTGCTCACGGATGCGGCGCGATCCAATACATTTTCTTTATACACTTTACTCTCGTAATTACGAAATAAGCAAACACCCCGGATTATGGAGAGTCCGCGCGTCTCTCGCTTTCGGTGTTACCTCGCCGATGCAATTCTACGCGTCCTGCATATTCTCGCGACGATCGCTCAATCATTTTTAATTACGCCACGAACGACACGATGTTTTTAATTTCAAGATAACATTTATTTTCGATAAGTTATTTTAAGACGACGCGTACAACGATCGCGCACGAATATCGGACGAATGATGTACATATTTTGGAGATGATATGTATATAACAATTATATTTCAAAACGTCATTTCGCATTGATTAATATAAACTTGTGATATTTCTTGATATTACAACTTTACAATTTTTTAATGTTACGATTTTCATTCCAATTATAGAAATACCAAGAGTCGGATCGCGTTAAGAGGAAGTCATCGAGATCGGACAAGGTAGTGAGCGCTTGGTCCATAGTCTGCGCCATAGATCTGGGTCTGGTCCAGAAATCATCCCTGAAGGATGTCACTATCGCGAGTTACTTGGACTTGGATTTTCTGCGTACCACGAAGAAAGATGCGCAGAGATTCTCCGATTTCGAGGCGAATAATCGCGAGGACGTCGTATCCGATCGCACGTCCGCGAATATCTACGATGGCTCCTGGCCGTTCATTGACCCGGCGCGAATTACGCGAATCACTTCGAGAAAGTCCGTCCGAAAACGCGGCAGGAGGAGGAGATGGTCGACGAAACGGCAAAGGAAACTAAACGTAGATAAGACGCGTTGGGATATCAACGACGCGACTACGAATCTTTCGATCAAGCGAGCCGCATCGTCGTCGCCCGAAGACATCCGACGTGAAAATCTCGGGGTATCGAATGATGGCCCGACGGGATTATCGGAGAACAAGTTTTCGTTGACGCAACTTCACGCTCGGTGGTCCGATCGCGATGAAGACGAGAATCGCGAGCGTCTATCCGGAAGTTACGGATCGACCGACGAAGACGAAGGAGTTTGTCGAGCAACGTCGGAGACGAGCTCGAGCGAGATCGTTCAGATTGATTATTCCGGTGCTGGATATTCCAAATTCTACACGTCGAATTGCCAAAAGAAAGAATCGCAAAATCGAACGGAATTGTCGGAATATCCCGATTACTTTTCAAACGTCTTGCGTATAGACGACAACAATACCGAGGACGATGATTTTAATGCAACGCCAGATTGGGATAATTACAACACGCGAAGCAAATTTACAGAAATTAATACGCGTACATCCGTTAAGAACGGAAACACTTTAGATAACATTAGAAGGAGGTCGTCGAGAAAAAAGAGTCATCGTTTAAGAAGTAGCGAGAACCATTTGAAGAAACCTCTAAAGGAAAGAAGCAACAAATTGATGCGACGGAAAAAAGAATCTGGAAATTCTGTAACAAATAATGACAATTACAATTTGAGAATTTCCCGCGATTTGGAGGAAAACTCTCCGGAATGCAAATCAGACGCCAGAGACAGCTTCGCTGCTGACACGCGTGATACCGTAAAAATTGTGCGGGGACGTTGCGATTGTAATTTTACAAATGCCGCCTGTACATGTAAGAGGAATTTAAAGAGCACAGCTACCGCGATTATGCGAGATATTCAGGCGCATATTCGTAGCGCGGAAATTGATGTCGAAAATATTCTGGATTTTACGATTTCCGCTGATAGTCTGGGCGAAAAGCCAGGTGATAAGGATCTTAATCGGGATATTTCCATGGAATACGATTGGATCGGATTGGAGGACTACGAGGACCTTAACAATGATGAAATATCGCTCCACAAGTCGAAACAATCATTCGATCTGGTGAAGGCCGATCCAACGGAATCATTTATTGACATGAGTATGAAACGCAGGCGTCGTAATAGACGATTAAACAGATTTACGATCGACTGTAAATTTGTCGACAGAACGGAAACGGCTTATCGAAGTGCCTTCCATGAATGCGTCGATTTTGACTCTCCGGTAACGACATCCTCTCTGAAAATAAACATGGATGAGAGCTGGAGATCGGAAGACGACGACAGCGGCGTAGACATGATCCATTCATCTTGGCGCCGATCGGTATCCTTCATTAAAGATTGCGATAACGAATTTGATAGCGCGCTGTTACTGGCACGAAAAATTATTAATGACGATTCGGCGAAGGATGAAAAATATTACGATGACGAGCACGAGACATTGGAAAACACGTGTTACAAATATCACGAAACAGCGGATGTTTATGCGATTAGTAGAGATACCTCTCTTCATGATTCATGCTCGGATGAGGAGGACGCAAACTTTGTAAACCAACACGATAAAACAAAGAATATAATCACATATAAAAAAAAGGGTAGGGATATTTGGAGATTGTCTTCAATGGATCGCAATTTCGTCAAAAATCGAAGCGATAAGGTGAACGATATTTAATTATTATATAATTATTGAGTATATGTCTTCAAAATTGCATTATATATATATTTCTATAACATAGTAAACATTTTTCTAAACGATATTTTGAAATTTGCTAAAAAAATATTCGATTAATTTTATGAGTCATTGTAGATTAACATGGCAAATACATATAAAAATAAATACGATTAGCGTGCGAGAGTCAAAATATATAGAAATAATGTGATAGGTTCAAGTTACGAGAAACAAGAAAGTCGATAGCAAGGTACGTTTAATGCGAAGAGATCGAGATGAAAAGGGTACCGATTTGGAATATGATAGTGATAAAAAGGAATACGTTCCGCGAAGAATAACGAGAGCTTTGGTAAAGACTACTAAGGAGAATCATGCGGGCAAGTTAGTATGGGGATACTGCTCAGGATGGTGGCCAGGTAAGTATATCGAGGATAATGATTACACAGTAATATTATGTATAATAAAACTTGCACATTTTTTGCGATTTATAGCTTGTTATGTGATACTGAAAATTAACAATGACATTGCCTCATTGGGGATATTGTTATACACATATAAAGCCCATTCTTTTTTCACAGACAATTTAATTCGCGACAAAATTCTATTTATAATTTTATGTGTCACGTGATAAAGAAATAAAAATATTTGAAAAAGTAAAGTACACATATATATGCATGTCAAGATGCACACATGAAATATGTGTATTACATAAAATTGTAAAAATTCTGTCTCGATTTTTGTCGCAAATTATAAAGCGAACTTAATACCACTTTTACCTAAGTAAGAGTATTGTTATTTTTTAGACAATAAATATTGTGTAAAATTTTGGATGTTTTTTCTCTTGAGGAAATATTAAAAAAAAAAAAACGAAATGTGATGTTTTAGCTCTGATTGTCGATGCCGAACATGCAGGAATGGCTCCTATTTCCGGCAAATTGTGGGTCTACTGGATCGGAGAATCGCAAATATCATTGGTAAATTAGAAGAATGATAGAAATCCTTATGAAAAAAACAAACAATAACACGTAACTAACATGATTATAGCTCAGGGAAAGCACGCAGATACAACCATTCTCGAGGAACCTGGAGCACCGATTGACGCAACCATCTCGTAAAAGTATTCGTTCGCGCGCCATTGACGCGACTATACAGGTTCTTTGCTATCTTCGAGAGAATAAAATTATATATAAAGAAAATAAGAATTAAATAAGGAATTACACTTCCAAAAATGCGATGTGCCGTTACAATTATTTTAGATGCTTCGCCAACGTTTCGGCTGTACTCTGACAAAGCCTTATTATTATTGGATACAACGGAATATAAATGGATTCGAGACGTGTAAGTTAAATAAAAAATATCTTTTATAATACTACCTCTCACACATATACATGCAAATAATGAAAGATAATTTATTTTGTGTAACAGTGGATGATCTAATATTTTATCCATACCCGAAAAATATACAAGAAAGACTGGATACCTTGAGAGAAAAAAATATCAAAGCTACTGAGAGATTCATATCAAACCAAAGAAGTATTTTCTTCCATTTTTGTGATAATTTAAGCGCATATAAAATATTGATACATAATATTTGAAAAACTAATTTGACATTTGTGACTTTATAGGTTCACCAGAGACATCACCGACAAAGAAACAGGCTGTTGAAAAATGCAAAGATACAAATACAAGTTGGAAGCAAATCGAAGATGAGCGTTTACCTTTACAAAACCAAAATCCTGGTGTAATAGCTTGGGCGAAAATCGCTGGACATTGTTGGTGGCCCGGTATAGTTTGAGCGCATTTATCCTTCTTTCCAAACATTTGCCTGGTCGTCTTTTATAAATACAAAGAGCTCTTCTTGCTTTTGCAGCAATGATTATCGATTATCGCGACTGCTGCTTGAAGGAACCGAGTTTTGGTTGTCAATGGATTATGTGGTACGGCGATTACAAAGTTTCAGAGGTGATAAGACTTGACATTAACTCGAATAAAAAAAAATTATACATCGATGAGATTTTTTTTTTCTGTAATATCGATTAATTAATATTTTATATTTAATAGGTACGTCATTTGGAATTTTTGAAATTTTACAAGGGACTGGAGAAGATGCGCGACTACATTCAAAATACAGTTAAGCAGTGTTATCTCGACGGCGTGCTTCAAGCTTCGAAGGTAAAAAAATTGATTCAAAGATTGTTTGATTATCTAAGATGATATGATAATATAAATAATATTTTAAATAATTTATTTAAACGCGCGCGCGCGCGATATGTATCTGAACTTTCTTTCAAAAATGTCCTTTTTCTACGATAATTGAATCTGACTTTTTAGGATTATTGTTCGCGTTTAGGATGCTCCACGGATAACTGGACTTTAGATAATGTGTTTGAATATTTTTCGAATATGAATAATATTCACGTACCATATAACCAATTGCAAGTTTCAGACTCTAACAAGATATATGATAAATATTCCGACGAGATAGTAAAAAAGATCAACGAATTTAAATCCAAGCCGAATGTAGATGCTGAGCGAAAGAATGACATAAAAACGAGTGGTAAGTTGGATTACGCAATGCATATATAGCTGTGTATATTATAGCTTTCTGCTACTAAATTTTTTTACTTATATTTTAATTGCAGATGCTCTGCATCGCGTAATATCAGGAGAATGCACAGTGGAAAAATTATGTTTGAAATGTTTAAGGTTTTCTAAAGATAAAATGGAGGAACATCCGTTCTTTATAGGATCTTTATGTAAAGAATGTTCGGTATGAGATCAAAGAGATACTTTCATACATTTTTCACAATAATCATACAAAAATAATGTTTATTTCAGTCAAATGTATTTTTCATCGCAATAACAAGAATTGTTTTATTTCAGTATGCATTCAAACCGTGTATGTTTGTGCATGGAAACGATGGAAAATGCGTAAGTATTCGGTAATATTTAATCGCGGCGATATTTAAAGATTGAAATATTAATTATGCCTTCGACATTTCAGTTTTATTGCACAGTTTGCGCCGCCACCGGAACTGTTCTTATTTGTGACACAGACGATTGTCCACGGTTAGTTTGCTCGTATTTGAAATAATTTAACTCTCATCGTGAAATATATTTATTTAATACGTTAATTGATTTCAGTGTCTATTGTACTGCCTGCTTGAAATTTCTGATATGTCCAAAAGCGTACGACGATATGCTATCGGAAGATCCGTGGAAATGTTTTCTCTGCAGAGATGAATCTAAACAACCTGCGAATATGTTATTGCATCCGCGATTGGATTGGAAAGAAAAAGTTTCTACAATGTTCCGCACAGCCTCTAATCCTGCCTCCAAAGACATAAATTTTGAAAATTATAAGAATCAAAAGAAACCCATACGTGTATTGTCACTTTTCGATGGTTTGAGTACTGGTAAGACAAAAATTTGATTTACTTTTGTAACATTAATCTTTATTATTATAATTAATTTTGTAAATTAATTATAATAACGCTTTTATGTTTTTGAAAAATATAATTCATTATATAAAAATATAATTTATTATGTCACATTTAACAGGATTTTTGGTGCTTTTAAATTTGGGAATTGTCGTGGATGTTTATTACGCGAGTGAAATTGATAAGAATGCCTTAACGATTAGCTCTGCTCATTTTGGCGATCGAATCACTTACTTGGGAGATGTGAGAGATATAACGAAGGAAAAGATTCAAGAAATTGCACCAATCGATTTGTTAATCGGCGGATCACCGTGCAATGATTTGAGTCTGGTCAATCCGGCGCGATTAGGTCTCCACGGTATGATATATTTATCAATATATAATATTCTTTAAAAACATTTCCAGCAGGCGATAATGATTCTAATTTACTTTTACAATTATAGATCCCAAAGGAACGGGAATTCTCTTTTTCGAGTACTGCCGAATTAAAAAACTAATGAAGAAAGCCAATAAAGATCGCCACTTGTTCTGGTTGTACGAAAATGTTGCTTCAATGCCGAGCGAGTACAGATTAGAAATTAACAAGTGAGTTTTATGAATCACTTCTTCAACAACGCGGCGGTGGATAACACATTACAATCACGCGAAATCAACTTGTTGCGTTAATTACAGGCATTTGGGACGGGAACCCGACGTCATAGACGCAGCGGATTTCTCGCCTCAGCATAGATTGCGACTTTACTGGCACAATTTCCCCTTTAATCCGTATATGCCGTTGTTTCAAAATCAACAGGACGTTCAAGATAAGCTTACACCAAATTTAAATCGTAAAGCTCTTTGTAAGAAACTGCGCACGGTTACATGCAGGACAGGTTCTCTGTTACAAGGTACGTGTCACACGAGTTCGTTCTGAAAAATTTTTTTATCGGGAAAATTTCGCCAAGGTTTCTTTTCTATTCTAGGAAAAGCGGAAGTAAAACCAATCATGATGAAGGGTGAAAGTGATAGATTGTGGATCACCGAACTCGAAGAGATCTTTGGTTTTCCGCGACATTTTACGGACGTGAAGAATTTGTCGGCCACAAATCGGCAGAAATTGCTCGGCAAGTCTTGGAGCGTACAAACACTTACTGCCATATTGCGACCTTTATGTTTCTACTTTAAATGCAAAGAAGACGAGACGAGCAACAATATTTCTGCTTTACATAAAGACATCTCACTTCTGTATCGCGGTAAACAATTTTAGCAAAATTTTGATTTCTAGCAAAATTTTGATCATGAGCAATTGATTATTATATTAGAAGCGCATCATCTCTGTTTTATGTTATAGCTTTGGTATAGTTTATCTATAGATAGATATTTGTATGATGTGTGGGGACAACAATTTTACATATCTAAAAAATTTATTTCTTAAATATATACACATCTTCTTTTTTCAATATTTGTCAATGATCAGGCATAATAAACATGTGTATATATAAATATACGCATATTAAATTCTATACATTGCTCGATTTGATCTTTTTTATGTCACAAGAATTGTAACAACAATATATATATAAAATATATCTACAACTATGTTATATTTGTAAAATGCTCCCTCTCCATGTTCATCTCCAATGGAAAATCAATGAACATTTAGAAGGCGCAAGTTGTAGGATATATACTTGTACAATTTTATTATGAAGATTTATTAGGATTCTGTTTTTTTCGATATCTCATTCGAAAGTATCCTTTGCGCGGTTCGCGACTCGTCGGTAATGTTACATTTCTACTTACGTAAGGTGCGCCTGGATACAATTGTAACAACATCGGAGGAACGGGAATGCAGCCAGCTAAACAATTAACATGCTGCATGATCGATATCGGCAATGGCGTGTTTATATATACTTGCTGTTGTTCCATATCAACACCCCGAACTATTCCTATATAATTATACGCTATTTATGCAAAATATCTGTTGAGAAAAATTTGTGCAGTAATATCAGTACTTACCGAAACCGTAACATGTGCATAAAGGCGATCTTTGCGTCAGTACCCGAAGAGTGGAGATATCTGTTGAGTTTTGAGAAGATTCCTCCGTTAAATCTATACCACACAGAGCTACAATATTACCATTTATGACGCTCAAAGCACGCGATGCCGGTACACCAAACAATCGCTGAGGAATAATGCAGAGGGAAGAGAAAGGCGCCCTGTAAACACATACCAAAACAGTTTTATATTTCTATTTAACACTCGTGCTATTGTAATATAATGAAATATAAATACTAACGTGTACGGCATTACTTGATTGATGCTATGCGATAGTCTTGTGTTGTAATGACTGAAATAACAAACGTTAAAATTAAAAATTGACATGTAATTATTAAGAACAAAATATTATGAGGAACAATATAGAATTTACAGAGAATCATTGTCGCGTACGATATCGCTGAGATAAGACATTATGACGAGCTCGCGTTGCTGATACGGTTCCATATTCCACTGGTTTGGTCCTTGATCCATTGTCGTTTGCGTTACGGTGCCTTCGACTTGAGATTGAATTACACACAAGTCGTGCTCGCATGGTCTGTTCCAATCGATAAATTTCTCGTCGCAAAACGCCCACGAGCATTCCTATGTAGAAGTTTTTTAAGAATTCAAAGAACAAAGGTATATCTATTATATCTGAAGAAATTTTATACCTGTTTATTTACGACTTCCACACTGAAGATATTATTATAATTATTCTTCTTTTTGGACGACATAATTTGCATGATTATCGACGGTCTGATGAGTTTTATCGCAAAAATTGCAATATCCCAACCTAAATTTTGCGTAAAACCCATCGTATTTACTACAATAGGTAAACGGGATAGTTCGGGATTCTCCTTTAATCTCTCAATCAGCATCTTAACACCTTCCAGGTAGCGTGTGACGCATTGAGCGACATTTACGTTGTCGATGAATAGTTGGTAAACCGGTATCTTCAAGTGCGTGAAATTTGGTCCCATTAGCGGCTCCTCGATTAAGCTGTACGAGATACAGCCGGGCGGCGTGCATTCTGCTTGACCGGGATCTATATCCACCAGGATCACCCTTGCACATGTATGCAATAGACTATTGATCAAATATCGCGCGCTGGTGGACTTGCCGACGTTTTTACCGCCAGCAATCAACGTGCAAGACCATTGGTTCGCACGCCAAAGATTCAACATTTTCTGCGCAATATCAGTAGTGATATACGGATCGACGATCAATCGTTTGTAATTGGAATTATTGTATTGCTCGAAATGTAGATCGGCTTGCAATATTATCTCGGCTCGTTTGGGATCTGTCCAAGGATAGTAGGAGAAATTATTTACATCTGGAAATAATTTGAAGTATGGAAAATAAGTTTTCAGAAAAATCGTCAAATTATCTTCGAAATTCTGCAACACGAGAACGGCGTCTCCTGGTCGAACATTATCGATGTCGACTTGCAATTTGCTTTCCGAATCTCGAGTGATGCCTTCTGTGGCGAGTGCTGTCCAGATATCATCGATATTACTATCTTTGGAATATCTTTCTCTCTTGCTCGTTTCTATAGTAATATTACTGTATCCTCGCGGAGAATACACTTTTGTAGTATTGGTCGACTTATTTAATATGTACCCGTAAATTTGCACAGCGCCATATAATACTTTTACCAACAGTTTACCAGTGAAGCATAATCTATTCTTGCTTTTCATTATAATAATGACTATGTTTCTTATGCAATAAAATTCTGGTGCTTTTTTGTTCCGCGATGGCTGATGTGTGCGATTTTTACTTTTAAGAGGGCTTTGCGGCAACTTTTCTATATTACAATTTACAGATATTCTATTTTTATCGAGTTTTTTACATGTAGGATTTTTCTTAGAACTGTTTATATTATTGATGCTAATATTTTCTAGTTTATCCTCAATTTTATTTTGGGTTTCATTATTTTCACCTGTATTTGATGACATAGATGTTTGTGCTTGTATGTGAGTGTTATGCTTAAAGTTTATAGATTTAGCAACTAGAATGCACGCTTCTTCACTGGATGATGCATCTACTTTAAACATGTCATTGTAAAATCTTTCCTCATCTACTTTTGTCTCTTGCTCTTGTTTAAATATCTGTGGTAAATTTAGTGGCATAACATCATTCGAATGCATCTCAATCACAAGTGGTGATTCTATATTTCTTTTTTCTTTCGGAGCAATTTGAGTCCAATCATCTATATCTTCTTCCATCTCTTCTTCGGAATTATCCAGCTTCCAATCATTATCTATCTTCTCATCTATCTGTTCCTGAGAACTATTCCATCTTATAGAATCAACTGTAGAATCTGGAATTCAAATAGTTCTAATTATATGTAATTATAATTATATGAACTTAGAAAAAATATTAAATAAATAATAATAACAGATAATTTTCTATTTAACTGAGATACAAACAAAATATCAACAAATGTATACATACAAAAATTAATATAATGTAAAAAAAAAAAGATTAAATTGGAAATCATACAATTCGTTGATAGTTATTTCGTTATCTAAATTTTTCTTGTATTTAAAAGTAAATTGTGTAATACTTCTTTTATAAAAAGACAAATTAACTCACCTGAATGAATATTTTGCGCATTATCAATATCCATATTATCGATCAAATTTATAGCAGTATTTTCAGAAGCAAACATAAATTCACTTTTGCTGACAGAATATTTCTTTTTTATCTTTCGTGTTGTCAGTTGTCTTTAAAATTAAAAGAAAATTAATGAAGTAATATTCAACAACATTTGAAATAATGTTATACTATTTTAATTAATATATTATACTATATAATATATACACTTAATATTATACACTACTATATTATATATACACTTAATAGTATATTATACAATCATGTGATTCCAGTAAAGGAATAATCTTTTTATTCGTACGACCTTGAATCATTTTACTCACTTTTTAATTTTTTTCAATTTAGCTCTCTTTTCCTTTATCCGTTTATTATGTTTATTCATTAATAAAGAAGGTTATTTACCTATTTATGCTTATAAATTTTAACACACTCCACGTGTAGGCAAAAATCTAATCTAACGCTCCATGAGATTTTCGATGTTATTGTTACTTTTTTTGGAGAAATGTGCGTAGAATTTCAGGATTGTGTTCAAAAATCCTTCATTGGAGTAGTATTTGATTGACCAATTAGAATAAAAGGAGCAAAATTTCTCCATTTTGATTAGTCAATGAAATAATGGGCGTGTGATTAGTCAATGAAATAATGTTCCAAAATTCACTGCCAGCGTTGAAAATCTATAGTTCACGTTACATATATTATATATTTTCAGCGCTTGCAGTGAATTTTGGAACATAGCCAATATTCGACAAATAGATTGTTGAACGCAATGCGTAAAGTGGAGTTTAGGATCTAGTAATAAATAGTAAATTTCTAGTAATTTACTAGTTATCAAAATAAATAACATTGGGTACTTTCCGATTCACGCATGATGCGCGTGAAGTGATAGAAAATATATAGTTCATGTCACGCATATTATACATTTTCTGTCACTTCATACGCATCATGCGTCAATCGGAAAAGTATTATTAACGTTAAATTTAACGCTAACATTGATCAAATAGATCTGTAATTACACGATGTAATTATATCGATTGTTCAATTAATTAATTAATTTTATCTTGCTTTCGCGTTGGAGCTTTTTTCTGATTGGCCGTTCGCAGTATTGAAAAGTGTATTTGCAGATTCCAATGTGATGGCGTTACTGGACGAGGAATTTAACGAAAGACCGCTCTTCTCTTTGTTATGTCACGTCTACCACCCTCAATTGTTGACGACAGTGACGAAATCGCGGATGTGTGTCTTGTGGGGGAGTTGTATTGAATATTGGCTAACCACTAAAAAATGGAGTTGTCAATTACATACTGTTTTTGCGGTCGTTCGTACGATCCTCAGCAATTTATGATACAATGTGACGTTTGCAAGGAGTGGTACCACGGCGGGTAAGCGTCCGCGAGCTTAAAATACGCCTATAAAACTCGGCGTCTACGACGCGACGATGTTCGACAATCACGATACTATTTTCCTATCACGATCCCGAGAATTTTTCGCGCCAAATTATGCCCGCGAGAACGCACGTGTTCAATCATGAACATGAAACGCGGCACGGATTCGCTGGCGTTCGCGTTGCAAACAATGTTTTGTTGATAGTAACATAACCTGTATTAAGCGTCATTGGCCTTCCATGTCCCAGTGTTTTTTTCACATTATTAACAAATGCGTGATATAATGAGAATACTGGGAATAACTATTACGTTTGATTGAAATGCTTGTTATATATGATGATTTTTTTAGTTTCTATATGTATAATATATTTTTGTATATAATTGTGAATTTTTTAAACATTCAAGTACAAATAATGCATTATACATTATTGTTTTATTCTTTTAGATGTGTAGCTCTGAAGGAATACATGACTACAGATCTCGATAAATATCACTGTCCACGATGCGAAGCTATGTGCGGCCCTTCTCTTAGTAAGGCTATTGTGTTAAACATTTTATGCATATTCCAAATTAAATTTATATTCTTATCAATACTTATCTCGTACAGTGAAGACTAGGATGAACTGGCATAGACATGATTATACTGAACGCGATGCGGATACGAAACCTGTTCAAACTGGAACTCCAGTATTTATACGTGAACTAAAGTCTAGACACTTTCCCAAAGCCGATGACATTGTGAAGCATATAAAAGGACAACAGTTAACGCTTCAGTATTTACAGACAAATGGCTTTGAAACTCCTATTATTATTGATGGAAAAGACGGGCTTGATATGACCGTACCTCCTCAGAGTTTTAGTGTTTATGATGTTGAGACTTACGTAGGTAAGATAGCAGGCATCAAAGTTAAGTTTTTAAATTAAATATAATAGATATTTTTGTTTATTACTATATGATATTTTATTGCAATATGTATAATTGACTGTTTTTATTGAGGTGGTGATCGGGATATGGATGTGATAGATGTTACTAGACAAAGCAACATACGTATGAAATTAAGAGACTTCGTAGAATATTACAACTCTCCCTCTCGAACAAGAGTATTAAATCTCATAAGTCTTGAATTTACTAATACTGGGTATATCAATATTCATTGCCTTGCCATATATATGGCTTTATAAATGTTTTCTACAACATATGTGTATAAATTGACAAATCAAACAATTGCAGTCTTTCACCAATGGTTGAAGCGCCGTACATCGCGCGCAAACTCGACTGGGTTAATTCGGTTTGGCCGCGCGATTGGCCCGAGGACAATGATATAAAGCGACCCGAAGTACAAAAGTATTGTTTAATGGGGGTCAAAGACAGTTTTACAGACTTTCATATTGACTTTGGCGGCACATCTGTGTGGTATCATGTGTTGCGCGGTGAAAAAGTTTTCTATCTCATCAAACCGACACCGGCGAATTTGCAATTATATCAGCATTGGATGTGCAGCTCAACACAGAATGAAACTTTCTTTGGGGATCAGGCTGATGCATGTTACAAGTGCGTCATTAAACAGGGCCAAACAATGATGATTCCCACGGGTTGGATACATGCGGTACTTACACCGGTAGATTCTTTGGTTTTTGGTGGAAATTTTGTTCACAGCCTTAATATTCCAATGCAAATACAGTAAGTATAAGAAATTTATCTAGAGATATCATTTATCTAAATTAAAAATTTATTATTTATTTAATGGTGAAATTATTTTGTAGAATATATGAATTAGAAAGGAAGATAAAGACTCCAGCAAAATTTCAGTATCCTGGTTTTGAAACAGTTAATTGGTTCGCTGCCAAGAAATTGCTCAAAGAATTAAAAGAATTGAATAACGAGGGAAAGAAATGTCCATCATATTTTTTACAAGGTGTGAAGGCATTGCTTGGAATTCTCAAGCAGTGGAACACAGATAAAGATGTAAGTTAAAACATTTTATAAATTTTTATTGAGAAAAGAATGTAAATCGAAATTGAAAAAATGAAATAACCAATGTATATATAATTTCAGTATAGTATGATTAGTCGCGGTCAGATACCAGAAACGATAAATAGCCAGAAATTATTGAAAGACCTTAGCAAAGAGATACGACACGCAGAACGGTACTTAATATCTCTAAATCCTCCGAAACCAGAACGCGAAAGTAAACGAAAGAAAAAGAAACCATTGAATAAGGATTTCGTAGATTTTGATTACGCTGATAAGATGGCCGATAACGCTTTCAAAGCAACATTGAAGGAAACGAATAAAGTAGAACTTGCTTCGATCGAGCAGCCATTGCCAAGACCACCGTTAAAACTTACATTACCGAAACCCATAATGTTTGCCGATGTTAAAGCAACCGGGACGAACAAACCCGCCAATAGCAATAAACGACAATTGTCTAAACCAGGGAAACAGAGCCCTACCGTAATTAGATTTAAGCTCGGTAACAACGAGGTTGTTAGAAGCACGAACGACAATATAAACATTTACAATAGTAATATCACGACCGATCATACAGCTCTCCGGACAGCGAAAGAACCGCTCCTGTGGAATCAGACGTCGTCCGTGTACGATTTTCACGACGGCAGCAATGAGAGCGATTACGGACTCGTGATAGACGAGTCACAAAAGCGCAAACGAGCGCCGAGATCGAATGCGCAGAAACGATTCAAGCGCGATTATGACGGCGATGTTGACGTGCTAAACGATGCGCCAAAGAACGGTATAGAGGAATTGTTGAAAGCATCGGCGTATACCCTCGGAAATGGTGCTCAAAGGCTAGATGTTACGTATGTATAAATTTAGCATATACAAATTCTTATTGAATCGCAATGACTATAACGAAAAATAATTTCAGACCGTCGACTATAATACAGCAATACAATCAATCTATGCCCCCTCCCACTGGGTAAGTTAATTTAATATAAAACTATTTTTTCATATTATACTTTGTAGTTTATCACATATTTTACAACTTTTTCGGTTAAAAGTGAGGCAAAATACATAATAAAAAGTAGCAAATATTAGTATAAATATTCTTGTAATTTTGTATGTATTACTATATATTATTAGAATGTGTGTGTGTTATATATCTGTGTTACTATTATAAGACTATTACTTTTTTTTTCAAATTTCTCCGTAGGTTTATTTTTATTAGAAGTAATTTGTAATACGGTAGTGTTATTACATAATGTAGATATGTATGGTTTTTCTTTTTAGAGCATGTGTAGTCTTTGTTTATAATTGAATGTTTATTAGGAGATTATTACAGTTTTGAATCGTACAGAGGAATGAATTTGATTTTTTGGTGTCTTTGTATTTATAAATTGAAAACGATCAGTTCCGACAGGGCGTCACCGTCCACGCGGGAGGCTATTGCCGGGATGTTATCGTTTAGTCAGCAAAGTTATTCGACAACGAGTAATTCTGCAAAATCTTCAAAATCTACCAAGAGCCAACAAAACGATGATGATGATGACGATGATGATCAATCGATAGAAAATATCGACAAGGTTCACCAAGATGATGATTTTAGTACGTATATAACAAAAGAACAAAATATTTATATATATTAATATTTTTTTTAATAATGATATTAAATTCATATTATTCGCAGTTTATCCAGCTTTAGACGCTTCTGACGACGAAGATTATATCTTCAAACCTAAGGCAAAAAGTCAAATCGATGAAGCGTGGAATCCAAAAGCCAGAGTTGGTCCTCTTTTACCAAAGACGAATCGACCGGCACGGGAAGGAGTAAAAAAAACATCTGTCGAAAAGGGTCTAGAAGCAGCCGCGGCGAAACGAGCAAAACAATCGGTAAATTAATTGTTATTTCGTTCAATATTATTTTATTTTATTCTGCACATAATCATTATATGTATTTGTGCATCTTATACATGACAAGTACATAAACCAATATCTCATATCATTAAAAAATGTACTTAAATGTACTTCAATTAATTTAGCATATTAGTCCAATTGATGAACATATATATATATATATTTAATATGTGTGCGCACGTGTATGATATAAAATTTTTTTTATATCATTGTCTATCATTTAATAAATGTCTTATCATTTATAACTGTCCTTAAACATCATAATTCCATATTTCTTGCATACATTTTATATAGGATGAATACCTGGATAACGACATGGACAAGGTTACCAAGAAGAAATTGGTAGGCATAATTCGACTTCTGCAGTTTAATCTAAAATTCTATAATGCTATGCTTTTT